AACCATCACACGCTAAGTATTCACTTAGTGAGGCATAATAATTTAAATAAGGCGTAACCAAAACATAAGTAAGTCATAAAAATCAAACTTTTGAACTTCTCTAACTACTTTCATTAAATAAAGTTTCAAAATATTAATAAAGCCAATCAATTGGTCGCATACTTTTCGGCACACAAATTGCTACTCAGCAATACCAATGCTATCAAAAGTTTATAACAAGTCAACCAAATCTATTTCTACAAATAATTGAAATTACTATATAGAAATAATCGAAATTACCAAATCTATTTAATCATAAGTATTTCAACTCATAATCATAAAGCTCCAAGATCATAAAAGAGGTATCAAAGTAAACATAAAACAAAAAAAATCCACAATATCATCCATAAAGAGTTTAAAACATTCAAATCACTCATTCTCTTATTAGAAGGCCTCGAATGGTGATCTGTTGACTACCGATGCTACTCAACAATCTCCCCTAGTATTTCAATAATCTCTGGCAGGGGGCTTAAGCTTCCATGGCATACGAATAATTAATGTGGAAAATGGGTACTTTCTAAAGGCTTCCAATAGTCACACTTTTTGGCTTGCAAGTACTCGCATTTATAGCTTGGATGAAATTTTTATCCTCCAATGTAAAGCTTCCACATTTCAGGTAATATCCAACCCATTGACAGTTGCCCAAGTTAGTTGTCCCATCCAAAAAGTTCTCCCAACCGTCTAGAGCTTCATCGACTGCTGCAGTATTCGCTTAGCATTTCCTGCAATTCTATTGCATCAGTGTAACAGTTTTACAAAAGCAAAAAACTAATTTAGCCCTTGGTAACCCACAAAGTTCCTAATATCCAAAATGTATAAAATTAAGCAAATTTAATCCTAAAATGCTCCTAAAAATGCTTAAGTTCAAACTAGAACTAGGTGAAAAAGGTTACTAAAGATAATTCTTTTGGAGAGTTATCACACATCCTGATCCTCATACTTCCGAGTAGCATGTACCAACTCATGTTGCCTCAGTACATATCCATTTGAACCTCTACTATGAATTGGTCTACTCTACTAGTTGAACCGGAACTAGCAGCTCTAGACTAATCCCTAACCTGGGTCGGCAATTGTGATTGATTAGGACTGTAAGAACCAGTAGACAAAAAAGAACATTCCTTGAAACGATGCTCCAAAGATCCACAATAGAAACACACTCAAGTCTTTCTCCAAAACTCTCTAGAATGTCTTTTCTTACAATAAGAGCACAAAGGTACCTCATAAGCACATGTCTAAGCTCCAGCAATAACAATCAGAGCAACAGATGTCACCTGTCTAGCCCTAGAATAACCTCGAGAGCCTGAATAATCCCCATGTGACTTGTCCAACCTAAACAGTATCTTGCTCAACCTTCCACCAGTCCTAAGCCTCGCCACCTAGCACCGGTATAGTAGCCCTCAACATAATATCGATTAGGTAACCCATCTCCACAATTAGTCAATGCATCTTCTTAAACTAATATTCAGTATCAGCGGGGTCAGATCTGGTTTTACCCACAAATATAATCATCCCAATTGCTAACAACTCAGTTGAAATGGGTTTCCTAGCAATCTCATCTTGAAGTAGGTAGCAAATTAAATCCTGATTTGTAGCAGTATTATCAATACCAATAATCTCACCATACTAAGATTCTCATGAATCATCATCATGTCTCTGATGTGCGGGTGGGTTTTAATTCACCGACATGTTAAACTCCAGTGTGATTCGTAGGTTGTACATCTCTTTTAGTCTCATTAACCTCATTTCAATTTTGGTTCTAACCCGTTGTGGGTGGAGGGTTAATCTCACCGGAGTTGTATGACATTTACCTTAACTGGTTGCTAAACGAGAACTATTAGATGTGTCACAAAGAGCTATCTACAAAATACAACACCTAAGAGTAGAGTTGGTACTTGGATTTCTAATTTAAAATAGTTATTTATCTTTTCAAAAATATGAAAAAGAAGAAAAATAATTTTTTTCTGAAAATTCTCATTTTTACCCAAAAAGATTTATATGCATGCCAAAATAATTTTTGGTTATAAATCTATGGTTGAGCTTCATAGCCTTAGGGTTGAACCAGACTCTTATGCCTTTGAATGTAAACCCCATTTACCTAACCTAGAAGGAATAGGTTGGATCCATAAGGACTATTAATTTGTTTACCCAAAATTTACCCATATGTGTTTTAACAAAACTTTGAACTTACACCTTACGTTATTGATTTCAAAGCTTAAGAAAACAAATTAATTCAGTTAATAAATTAAACCAAAAACAAACACATGACAATCAAATTTCAAAGTCCAATGTCCAAAAATAAATATAAATAATAATAGTTCCCAAATAAAAATATTAATGAAACCCAAAATAATAAACTTGAGTAAAAAATTCTCATTCTTTGATTAATAATAAAATCCGAATACAATCTCCAAGTATCGGTTCATCTAAACTCGACAATCTGAAAGAGAAGCTAGAAGAGTGTAATTTATTAAGCTTAGTACGTCTCTAAAGTGCAACAATTCACAAATCATATTATAATATGAATCAACCAATAACAATCATAGCTATGATTCAAACAATGATAAACATAATTTATATGTTATGCAAATGACTATGCACCCATACGCCTGTCACACTATCCGAAGAGTAGGCTCCCCAGAACCACTCTAACTACAATCACACAATCTCAAGTGGGGTCTACCACAAAGGTAGAGGCCAAGGAATCCGAAGTGACATTTACCTCGTCGAGTAAATGCACTGAACTTCCCCTATCAAACACATTCCAATATGACAAGGTAAAATAACATGAATATATGATTTTTTATCAGATCCAAATGTAAAAATATTTACATAATTTCAAAGTATGAATGTTTAGGATAATATGAATCTGATAAATATGGCATGTCACATATTTTGTTTTGAATTGCATCAAATACAATAATATCACAAAATCATCATGATCCAAAACAACTTCCAATCAATATGCTTATCTAATTTAGATTTAACACAACAATACCGAAAAAATAATCATGCTTCAAATCAATTTAACGAAATCAAACAATTATCATAGGAAAGGTTTAGCATTGTCTAAAGACGCACATCGAAAAATAGCTAATGAATATAATAACTTTTTCATGATCAATCCTAATAGTGGATCAACGAGAATCAATGTGGTAAAAATGGGTCAATTTGAAATTAACGAGTAATGGCGGATGAGGTGATAAATCTATTTCTGAGTTAAAGTCTCCTGTAAAAATTGCGTTGATCGGTTTAATAACCCAATACACCAATTTTCATGATAATGTAGAAATTATTACGATACCAGAACAATTTTCGGTTCAAATCAAGAGAACATGGTCGTGGGTTTTTTATTTGAATAAAGGATTGTTGGTTTAGGGAGAGGGTTGTCGGTGACCAAGCCTTAATGGAAGCTTCAACTAGAGGAAACAATGGCACACATGACCTCCCTTAGTGAAATAGGTGACCTCGATTTCGACTGAAAATAATAAAGAGCAACCCCAATTTTATCGATTCAGCCACTCCCACATGAACCCCAACCAACAAACGGCCATGAGAAATTATGAACAACCCCGACAACCTCGTTTCGGTGTGAATACGATGACCTAATAAAGAACAGTGAATCGAAAAAGAAAGAAAAATAATTACAGGCGGCACATAAGGAAAATAAGAAAAGAAAAAAGTAGCATGTGGGTGCAATTAATTGTGAAATAAAAAAACTAAGGATTTTGTTTCAGAAAAGAATTGGGTTTTAATTTGGTATTCAAATCCTTAAAATCAAGTTAGGGATTCAAATATAAATTTTCATATTTTAGGGGTTTTAATTTAGGAACATTTGGGGTGTACAAGGCCTTAGGTTTTATTGTCTTGGAATCAAAGGTGGCATTATAGGTGGCAGTGTTGTCGGCATTGTTGTTGGAAATGTTCCAGAATTAATACATTGTCCTGCATCTTTTGTTTAAACATCCAGAGTGGGTGTCTCAATATCCACTTCCAATTCCTTGTCTTTATATTCATCTCCATGCATCTCATCATCTTTGTTCTTAGATTAATCAGCCAGCTTCCCAATATGGAGGTCACTTTGTGTAGTGATGACCTTGCAATGTTCATTTCATTGGCCTTTCTCATTTGCCTTTAGAACTTCGTTGTCACTAGGCAGTGTTCCTTATGATCTATTGCTTATAACATTTACTAGTTGTCTCATTTGATTCTCCAAAGCTCTTAGAGATGTTTTATGGAATTGCATAACGAATTCATTCCTTTAGATATATTCTTTTAGTAAAGTTTCAAGAGAATTTGAGGTTTAAACTTGGCTGGAATATTGTCCTTGGTAATTCTATTAGTTGTGATGTTGTTATGGTTACACTGTTTGATGTTTTGACTGATGTTGGGGCATAATCTGCTACTAATTGTATTATTGATGTGGTTGATAGTGTTGCTACATACTCTCAAAGTTTGATTAGAATGTCATATTAGGATTTTCCACGTTTTGGCTTATCTAAGACACATTAGGGTGATTACGATAATTGGAATTGTAAGTATTCCCATATGCATTGGTATTGGCATTCGTATTGTAATTTCTCATGAAGTACACTGATTTGGGATTTTGTAGGCATTTCTCAAAATTATGATTCTCTCCATAATAAAAGCAAGATTTAATTGTTTAGCCTTCACCTCATACATTCCTCTATGCTTTTGCATCTTCTTGATCATTTCAGTCAATGTTGCTATATGTGTGGCCATCATGATGATAGTATCATCATCTATTACCGTAGCATTGTATCTGTCAAACATATTCCTTGTATTGGGATTTTGATAATAATTAGTGGATATCCTTTCAAGGATGTCATATGATTTATTATAGCTTTTATCCAACAATGCTCTATAAGCATAAGCATCTTCAATCATTCATGTCTACATGTTCAATCCATTGTAAAAATATTTCCATTTGTGTTCAATGCTAGAAACCATGCATCGGGCATTTGCATAGAAAATCCTTTAATCGCTCTCAAGCTTCATATAAGTTTTTATCCTCCATTTGCTTGAATAATGTGAGATCATTCCTCAACTTAGTGTTCATGTTGGAAGGGTTGAAACGCAAAGAAAACCTTTGTGCCAATCCATTCCCCGATGTTATAACACCATGTGGTAATGAATTGAGCCATGCTTTTGCTTTATCACATGGTGAGTAAGGAAATAACTTCAACTTTAATGCTTCCTTGGGCACTCCTTGCTGTATGAAAGAGTCACACATTTCTATGAATGTTCTACGGTGTGCTATAGGATCTTCGCTAAATGAATTGCTATACTGCCCCATTGACTGCATCATTTGGAATATCACAAACTTCAGCTCAAAATGGGCAACATGGATGGCAGGTCTCATGATGCAAGGATTTAGATCATCCATAGTAGGCACAACGTGATCTCATATTGGCCTATCGCGATCATCGATGTTGTAGACATTTGGTGGATGAATTTCCATTTCCAACTAGTAATTCTTCCTCACCATGTTGTAATAGTGGCAAATCATTCTTACCATCACCCACATTCATGTTTTCTTGATTATGATCTCGAATAGACTCTAAGTCTTGATTATCTTGGTTGGTCATGCACAACAAATAAAAAAGAAAAATAAAGAAAGTACCTACAAACTGAAAATATCAAAGTTAATGAAAATAATAAATAAAACAACTATAATGCAATATCATTGCTCTCCGAAAATGGTGCCAAAAACTTGATTCTATGATAAATGCTACAGTAATTATACAAGTATACTTATCGTATTCAAGTAGTCAAGTGGATGCTACAAGAGTATCGGATGCCAAACCCACAGAGAGAATGTGAGAAAATAGTTGAATTCAAGAGTATTAAGAGATGTATGGATAAAATAGTAAAACAACGAGAAGGTAGCAAAGTAATAAAATCAATATGAGAGTGTTAGGCAGTGCAGCAACATTCAAGAGAGCAATAGATCAAAGGATTAGAAAATGTGGTTGTCATTTGGAAGCTTCTATTATGGTAATGTTGGTGCAATTGTATTCATACGACTTGCAAAGATTAACTCTACTTAACTACTTATAACCAATTTTTGCCAATCCAAGCAATTAAATAGCTAACAATGTGATGATTATTGACAGTACACATTTCCATATGCTAACTTACTTTCGCAATCTCAACACTACGAGAAGGTAGTATGCAAAATCAAATTATCAAAGTCACATAAATAAAGATAAACTCATTTCTAAACATTTAATATAAAATCTACAACACATGAAAACAAAACATAAGCAATAACCACAATAAAAACACTTCATCGAACACCTTAAGTTCAAAACCAAACAACATCCAAAATAAAGAAATATTCTAAATCATTAACCATCACTTCCCTCATCCAAACAAAGGAAAGAAAACTAAAATAGAACTTAACTTGATAGTGGCTGCTACACTGCAGTGTTCTCAAAACTGATGCTACATGTCATGGTGTGTGGTTTAGGCTACTATGGCTTGAGGATAATTTGGTGAAGAAGAAAATTGAAGAAGAAGAAGAAGAAGAAGGAAAATCATAATGCCAAATGTGTGATCTTCACCCTCTATTTATAGGCTGAGTAGGTCAAAGCTCCAGCCAATAGAATTGGTACTCCAATTTCAAGATATTTTAGCCATTTGAGAACTGTCCTGGTAGTTGTCGTAATTCTAGAAAATTCTATAATCACCTGATGACACAACAATTGATGTTAGTTCTACACATCGATTTGGCATAACATTGCTTCATAGAATCATCTACAACATAGAGCATTGACACAACATCAGTGTACCATATTTCAGCATAAACAAAAAAAATAGTCCAAATTCCATCAATTACTTCCATAATGCAAATGATGCAAAATATGGCAAAATAAACCTAAAACATTCCTAATGTGATCCTAATCATGCTAAAGTTCAAGCTTAACCTAGGTAACAAGATCCTAAATCATGACTCTTTTGGAAAGTTATTAGTGGTGCAATCCGAACAAATGAGAGAACATGGCTCATCGGTTTTCATAAATCAATTGGCATAACCACTCTCGTTCAAGATGAGCTTTGGGGTATTTACATCAGTTTACATGTGGCATGGAATCACGGTATTGAACTGTTTCAGGTTTAATCGGATAATCTAAAGGCTATACAACTTCAACAAGCCAAATGCAGGGTTGTGATTTGCTTCCTCCTGTGCGAGCCATTTCATAGCTTTGCAGCCATAGGTGGTGTATTGATTTTTTTTTTGGTCTACCGTGAACGAAATATGGTTGCCAATTAAATGAAAAAACATGCTCTTCCTCGTAATTACATGATACACAACTTCTCTACTGCCCTAGAGTGAATTCCTCCTTTGGTTGACAAGAATATTGATCTAATTGTATAAGGCCCTATACCCCTTTCTTATTTAAACAGATATATTAAATATATATTCAGCTGTTGATATTTGAAAGAAAAAAATATAATAATATTAAATATCAAATTAAAAATAAAAATGTATATTTTTAAATTTTAAAAAGAATAGACTTATAGAAAGAATTTAAATTAATTATTTATAAATATAAACTTATTTAAATAATTTTAAAATTAATATTTTGAGTCAAATTGAGTTTTTATCAAATATTAACCTATTAATTCATGCATAGGCTCAACAAAAATCTAATTAAATCTCACTATGCCTCTGATCTCACCTGAGCAGTGCTACTCCACATTGTAGTCAATAATTCTAACCTAAGAACTTGCTCTTAAATAAACCGTCTGATCCTACATCTGCTTAAATTTCACGCAAGAATATTAACCGCTTCTCTTCACTGTATAAAAAATCTCTCATCATCTCAATTTTATTATTATTTTATTTGCAAAATTATCTTATGAGTATTATATTTTTTTATAAATATAATATGAATATAAGGTAGTATCTGTTCAATAATTATAAGTATTTAATATTGAGCACTCATATTTTGGTATATGTATTGTTCGAATTTGAGACCTTAAGAGATAATGGCAAGTCACTTGATCATTAGAAGCTCAAAAGATAATAACAAATCCCTAAATCATTGAGGTCGTTTGGCTCGTGCTATATTATGAGTATTAATTGTAGAGATTTGCTAATTGGTTGAGGGATAAAAAAATGTTTATGTTATATTACGTTGTGTGAGTTTGAATATGAATGTTTCTCTTAGAAATGTAATATTTTTCTACCTAATAAAAATTTTAAACCATTTATGTAATTTATCTTAATTTTATTATATTTTACGTGTATTTTAATCTTAATTCTTAAAATTTTATAAATTAGAAATTAGAAATTTATAATTAAATTTTTTTATTAAGTAGAAAAATATTATATTTTTAAGACAGATTTGAATTCAAACTATTTAATAATATTTTTTAAATAAAAATATTATATTTGTAAGACAAACATTCAGATTCAATCTCACACAATGTAATTTAACAAACATTTTTTACCCCTCAACCAAATAATAAATCTCTACAATTTAAACTTTAATGTAACACTCTTAACTCCTAAATGTGTACTATTACTAGTTAAAGATGTCATATCAATTATTCAAATCATTCCTTATCCCAAAATGGGTAAAATTTTGATTCCTTAAAATTTTATAAATTTTAACATTTATTATAAAATAATTAATCAGAGAAAATCAAAATATAATATTTCGACTTATATTTAAATTTGGGTTTCAAGCATTAACAGACAGTTCTGCTCTATTTCATATAATAGATAGATTGTCTAAAAACTGTCTGGTTTTAAAAAATATCAGTAAATTAATATTTCAAACATAGTTGAATATCATAATAATATTTATTCATACTATTAACCATATTTAATACCAACTATATTAATACCAACTATATTAATAATTTGCAAACATTTCTTACTTATATACATGTCAGGTAGAAAATTTAGAACATAATAGGATGTCATCACTGTTACCTGAAAATATTCCTTGGTGATTGATGTCATGTTCTGTTCCTTATCCATAGCGCTTTCTTTTACCTACGCGTGAAAATCACCACACACAAAGTATACACTTAGTGAGACAATCATAGAAAATATTCAAGGCAATGCAACACATAAATGTAATCAGTAATAATATTCAATGAATTATAATCACTTTACATGTAATCTCAATCATGCTACTAATAATAACATAATATGATCCACATATAAAATTTCATACCAAAATACTTGACATTTATTCCATAAGATTATAAGCTTATTCACATGTATATCAATTATTAACCAATAAACCATAGCCCATTTTAAATCTTGAGGACCCTGGGTATACGAGTCAAATATGCAACAAACTGCTTGCATATAAGGTTGTGCCCACCATATGCATTAAGTGTCCTTACACACTACAGTGCTATCCCGAGTATGACACATAAGGTCGTGTCCACCACCTGCAATAAGTGTCCTTACATACTATAGTTCTATCCCGAGTATACAGCCTACTGCTGGACTCTATGGCATGCCAACTATACCCTGTCCCTCAATGACTTACTTGGGCATATAGTCTTTTTTTTTATTTCCATCCATGGCAATGTATATTAGTATCATTTAACATTTGGGCAATTCATACCCTAAAAACATTCATGGTATAACATCATATATATTCATCATAAACATCATATATAATAACCAGTGATCAATGCATTTTATATTCAACCTTTGACATATTTAGAATATGCCAATCATATGATAAATGGCATAAATATCATGCCAATACGAACAAGGTAGACTCATCGTGAGTCTTCCTAATGATGTATAAAACATCCATGTATAATGTCATGCATGCAATGCACTCACATTGACACTTTAAATACAAGTCAAAATATAAGCCTCACTAAGCTTTAACTTGATCCTTTGCTTCCCTTTTAGTTAGATTATAAAATTTAACACAATTTCCTATCCTGGCAGTTTGCACTACCTTTAAAGAAATATTATTTTATATTAATTTACTCACTCAAAAATTATTTTGTTATACCAATGGAAACTATAATCGATACAAATCTAACCATATAAGTAACTTCTTT